CTATCTTTACTCTCCCTTTCCTCCGTCTCAAACTTTCCGCGTTCGGCTTTGCGCATATACCATTCCCCATAATAACGTGTTCCCGCTTAGTTTCCATTGTCCACCGAGCGCAACTGTGCTGGGCCTTGTGCCTTCCCGGTTGTCGCTTTGTGCACGCCTCCAACTTTGCGCATCTCCGGTTTTGCGCACCGTGCGCAGCTTTATTTATGCTATCCCATCTACCTCAGCAGGCTCAACTCCTCTTTGTCCGCATCTTCAAAATTGTGCACATGGAGGTCTGCGCGGTCCAGCGCGCTTCCAGCTGGTTTGCATGCTTAAACTCGGTCGTATATCGCTGCTCCGTCTCGCGTGCTGCCTGCTGCAGAGGAGCGCCAGGACATCGGCCCCGGCTGCTGAAGCAGGCAGCTGAGACGGAGCCTGCGCCTACTGAAGCAGGCAGCACGCGAAACGGAGCAGCGGTACACGACCCGGTTCCAGCATGCACGCCAGCTAGAAACCCGCTGGACCCACTAGTTGACAGTTGAAGCCACGACCCGCCACTGTACGGCGTTAAATGACAGCGTCCGGACCCCGGACGACACGCTCGCTCCCTACGGGAAGGAATGGGGAGCTGTCCACCTGTGTGTGGAGCCCCCTGCGGGTTCGAGTCCCGCGCGAGCGTTTCACACTGGCTGACAGGCTAAAGTTGCGTGCTACCCTCTGCAACCTCAGTTTCCTTCCGCCTTCCGCCTTCGTATTGTGTGTGTGTGTGGCCCTTAAGCGCCATATGTGCTTCTGAGGGCCGCTTGCTATACTTGCTGCGGAATGTCTGATTTGCATATACCAAGCAGCCCTCCCGAGCATGGCGCATATTGATTCCGCGCAATGCAGGAAACAGCCATCAGCCAGCACAGGAGCTACGGCCCACTCGCGCGAACAGCGCGCTCTAGTCCCCGTCGCGCGCGCGTCTTTTTTTTTCGCGCTTTTTTTCCTTTTTTTTTCTTCGTATGCTTCATATGCTTCATATGTATGCTTCATATGCTTCATATGCTTCATATGCTTCATATGCTTCATATGCTTCATATGCTTCATATGCTTCATATGCTTCATATGCTTCATATGCTTCATATGCTCCATATGCACATATGCACATGTGCTTCATATGCACATATGCACATGTGTTTCATATGCACATATGCACATATGCAAGCATATGCCACATGCATATGCAATCATACGTGATCTGCAAGCATATACGATCTGCAAGCATATGCGATCTGCAAGCATATGCGATCTGCAAGCATATGCCACATTCGATGTGCAAGCATATGAGATATGCAAGCCTATGCGATCTGCAAGCATATACGATCTATGCTATGCTGTGATATGCCGTACGCGCTATGCTATGCTATGCTATGCCGTACGCGCTATGCTATGCCGCTATGCTATGTACGCGCTATGCTATGTACGCGCTTGCGACAGCGCCGTGCAACGCGCAATTTAGCGTGCAATTCAGCGTGCAATTCAGCCCACATGGCTCAGATATGCACATATGCACATCTGCTTCATATGCACATATGCACATATGCAATATGCATTCATATGCACATATGCACATGTGTTTCATATGCACAAATGCTTCATATGCAAGCATATGCCACATGCGATGTGCAAGCATATGAGATATGCAAGCCTATACGATCTGCAAGCATATGCGATCTGCAAGCATATGCTGATATGCAAGCATATGTATGCTATGCTATGCCGTACGCGCTATGCTATGCCGCTATGCTATGTACGCGCTATGCTATGTACGCGCTTGCGACAGCGCCGTGCAACGCGCAATTTAGCGTGCAATTCAGCGTGCAATTCAGCCCACATGGCTCAGATATGCACATATGCACATCTGCTTCATATGCACATATGCACATATGCACATATGCACATATCTTCATATGCACATATGCACATGTGTTTCATATGCACAAATGCTTCATATGCAAGCATGTGCCACATGCGATGTGCAATCATATGTGATCTGCAATCATATACGATCTGCAAGCATATGCGATCTGCAAGCATATGCGATCTGCAAGCATATGCCAGGTGCGATCTGCAAGCATATGCTACATTCCATGTGCAAGCATATGCGATCTGCAAGCATATGCGATCTGCAAGCATATGCAATCTGCAAGCATATGCCAGATGCGATCTGCAAGCATATGTCACATTCGATGTGCAAGCATATGAGATATGCAAGCCTATGCGATCTGCAAACATATACGATCTATGCTATGCTGTGATATGCCGTACGCGCTATGCTATGCTACGCTATGCCGTACGCGCTATGATATGCCGTACGCGCTTGCGACAGCGCCGT